AAAAAATAACCAGCATCATCTTAGCAGTGATAATGAGCCACTTAAGCAACATGCAATGACTCATCTTCAAAATAGAGAAAGGTTGCTGTTGAACTGCAGCTTGATGACTTAAATGGATCATCGAGAGAGAACTCGGCACAGAGAGAAAAAGAAGTTAACAAAGGGTTGGAGCAGGTGGAGCAAATGGATGTTTGACAGGGTGCTATGAGGCACTGCGTGGCACAGTCAGCACGGAGGTCCGCGGTACCTTCAGGTCGCTCCCGTTCAGGCGCATTCTGTTGATCTTTCGACCACTCGGCCTGGTTGAGTCCACCCAGTAGATAAATTCTTTCTTGTAATCAAAATCCAGATGGATGATGTTGTAGAGGCCCTGAGAATCACACAAAGACAGGAAATGCTGAGATTTAGTTTACCGAGAACGGCTAATGACACCGGCCGAGGTGAAACATCAGCTTGAAATGCTCGATTTCTCCAGCATCTTTGTGCGATGTGATTTTGACTGTGATATCGATTTATGTTCCCATAGGTTCCAGTACTTTCAACCACACAAAGCTTTGGATAAGTGAGTCGAGACCACGTTGCAGTCTATCAAAACAGAAGATGGAAGTGCTCTCCTCCTCTGTCATGCTCACAGGACCCCTCTGTCAGTCACACAGAGCTGCTCACCAAACAAGTGCCCCCGCCCCGCTGTCTCACACTGTGGGTGCTGAGAAAAGATGTCAGACAATCTGACAGGAGAAACGAGACATCTTCATCAGACCATCAACACCCTCACAGACAGGTGCCAAAGCGTCCTGGGGGGACCTTTCTCACTCTAAACACCAGCTATAGAGATGAAGCCTGCATGCCCCTTTATCAGCGCTTCCACCGCCGCTGCATTTTCCATTCGTTTCCCTGCAGACGCTGCAGAATCCAGCACTCGTAATGGATTCTTCGAACGTGAAATAAAACTTTTAAAAATAACTCTTTCATTCTGTTCCATGATTGTTGATGAATTTGAGGGAAAACATAACTGAAAGCTAATGAACAATATGACCGTATAAAACTCATATTTTCTTTTTGTTTTTATTTCAGTCAGATTAGATTTTTATGTGAATCTGCTTAAATCTCGTCTGAGCAAAATTATGTTGCATCAATTTTGCAGCAAATCAAGTATTTTCACAGAGCTCAGAGGTTTAGTGTTAACCACAGTTTGTTGTTTTGGTTTGTGAGCTTGAATAGTTTTATGTGTGTTGTGAGAGCAGACTTGCATACAGTTAAACATGTATGGATTATATATTCTGAATACTGTTTGGTAAATAAGGGGATTTGATATAATGTGGAAAGAATCCTGCTGCTTTTCCAGTACAAACATTGTGTAGACACGCAGATATTCATGAAAACTTTTCTTATTTCAGATATATTTAGATTTTCAAAATAAAGATCAGTCTGATTACTTATGAGATAATGCTTCTGGGGTTATTATTAGTCAGTCCAACACAAATGAACATGATGCCACAGGCGAAGCAAAACTAAACACACTGAACATGGAAACACAAGACTTTCAAAATAAAACAGGAAACATGAAGAGACGTAAACTGGGACATGCAAGCTTGACACAAGAGACAGAGAGAGGACGAAGGACACAGAGAAGACACAAGGGGAACCTACAAAGACAAGGAGACACTAGACGAACACTAAACCCAGACCAGGCCCCCTGACTCTCTCTCTGCAGACATATCTCCTCTGCCAAGGACAAAAACAGGTAGTGTGTAAATATAAGAAATTAGTGTTGTTTTACTTCTGCTGTTTACATTTTAACTCAGGCTCAATGTAGCCTCTTGAATTTTTCTGACAGAGAACAGTGTTAATGTTTAGCTACCAACGAGGCACTGAGACTCATCCTGAAATAACCAGGCCTGCCAATAATCCTCCGGCTTGTTCAAATATTGAATAAAGCAGAGCTCCTGTAACCACACAGTGCAAAGAGGAGCAGACCTGTGACAAAAGCCGGCATCTTTCATAGTACAAGAGAGGAACGAACACAATTGCATTATATTAATTAGATTATTCTCTATGCAACACAGCACTATAACATTTTTATTATACTGTACTATTAATATGATTTATTTTTTCATACATGTACAATAACAGGAAATGTTTTTTGTATTTTCATTTAATTATGTCGTTTAGATGTTTTACAAATGATCATATTTTACACAACACGGATGTAAAGAGTAACAATAAAAACATTTTTATAAAATGCGGGTACGTGAGGGTGTGGTGAAGTGAAATGAGGTCAGCTGCCGATAACAGGCTGTGATTAAAGTGAGCTGTGGCTAATGAGAACAGCAGTGCAATCAGCAGAATACAGCGAGTCAAGAGGTTAATATGAGCGTGAGACCAGACCCTCGGACGGCTGTGAGGTGATTTACAGTGAATCACAGTTAAACATTTGCGATGCTCAACAGTCAGATTTAAGCTTCGCCTGAAGCAGCAGAGATGAGACCTCAGCATGACTGAAATAGTGTTTCCTCCAGGTCCCCTGGGCGATTTCTCTCATCACCAATCAGAACTACCAACTGTCCTCTGCCTTTATGGGAGGTTGGAAGATCAAGGTGGACACCAAATACCGTACATGAATAGAGAAAATAAGTTAGGGAGGTTTGTGCATCATGTGTAGGTTTGATGCTAAAGGTCAGAGAATAGAAATTTCACCTCTGCACAAACTCAATCTGGTTCAACCAGGTGACACAAAAGTGTTCAGAATAAATCATCAAACAGTATGTTAATGCACATATTAGATCATTATATGTTACCATCTTAGTGTCATTGCAACTGTAGAACAGTTACAGTTACATTACACGGCAGCAGACAGTTTAAATCTTATTATGTAAAATAATGCATGATGGGGAAACAGCGTTACAGGGTCATTAGGGTGCAACCGCTGGACAGCACAGACTGATTAAAGGCAAACAAAGCACCAAAAATAATTTCTATTGTGTTACTACGGACTCCTCTCTGTAAAGGTATCAGTACAACAGGGTTAGGGGACATTCAAGCACAAAAAAGAACAGGATGATTATCTGTAGGCTCTAATATCTAATGATCGTCTATCCAAGAATAACATGCACGTATCACTTACCTGTTTCAGGATGGTGTAATTTGAGCCATCCACACTCAATTTGCGGATCTCGTGGTGGTCTGCCATAATGAGAAAGGGCTCTTCAGCTAAAATGAGGAACATGCATCGTTAGAGGGCTTCTGCACGCTGAGCAAACCTGAGAAACTCTAAAAAAAAAAATCAGACTTACCTGACAGAGCCTTGCACGTGTTAGGATTACGCTCCAAGGCTTCGTAGCCATCCACACACAGGCATTTGTAGGAGCCGTACGTGTTTATGCAGCGCTGGCTGCAAGGAAGTGTCGTGGAGCACTCGTCAACATCCACACAAGTCCTGCCATCGTCCTTCAGATAGAAACCAGGCCAGCATTTACACTGATCACAAAAGCAGAAACAAAGAGTTTTGATCATGAGCGCAGGAAACAAAAAGCCTCAGTCGAGCTGTCGCGAAGCTTCCTCTGCTGCAGTCAGACAAATTATTAACATTTTAACTTGTGTCAGTGAGACAGCTTTGTTATTAAAGCAACATCAAAGCAATTTTAGAGCAGCTTGCAGTAACAAACCATGTATCTCTGGGCCTCAGTGTAATGCAGGTCAGCAAAAAGCTCCCAAACCAAGCACCAAACAGAAGTTGGCATCTAAGCCATGATTTAGACGTACTGTTCCTCAGCTTAAAAACTCCATTGCACTCCAGTGACCGAGGACCCCAAAAAATAACTGAAAGTGCTTGAATCAGCTGCTCGGGAGCCGCTGCAAATCCCTTTCTTATCCAAAGTTATAACCTTGAGGGCCTTTCTGCTGATCTTCCTGTTCAGGCCACAAAAGGATGAGCTAAGGGTCCGCATCGACGTGCTCGACGTGCAGCTCTGCCCCTGCTGCAACGAGGAGGAGATGCTTCCTGTGCTTTCAGCCTCTTTGTAAACCACCATCACGAGGAAGAACAGGAGAAGAAAATTCAGAGAGGAAGCGATAAAACCACCGCAGAACGACAACAGGCAAAGGCACCAAAACACTCCGGGGGTGTGGCCTTGAACTTTGACCCCCGCACCATTGCCAGGTACCGTAGAATCGCAGAGCACAGTGAGGGAGCAGGTGTTGGCATATCATTAAGCTCACCTTACAGTCTTCAAGGTTATTCAAAAAGTGAGAGGCAGCGTGTGCTGTATATACTCCCACCCATCTTTATCTGTGTAATGAAGTGCAAAGTTAGCCTTGATTTATTATCAGCCATTAATCATTCAGGTCCACCACTGCTAATATAAGCTCCATATTTCACCTGCTACTGAATTGGAATTTATGCAAGTGCTTAAAATGTAGGTCACAGTGTTTGACACCTTACAGCGTGACTCATGGTTCCAGATGCAGATGAAACCCTGAGACTCATTTTTAGGCTGTTTTGCATGAATTGCAAACTGATTTTGGTTTGCTGGTCTTTATCATCGATGATGCCCACTGGACACTTACCTTATAGCCTACAGGAAGGTCCTGGCAGTCCTGCGTACACCCACTGACTCTGCGGTTCAAACATTCGTTCACATTGCAGTTCCTCTCGTCTGATCGGTCCCCGCAGTCATCTTTGCCATCGCAAAGGTTCCCCTGAGAAATGCAGCGTCCGTTGGAACACATGAAGAAGGAGCCATTGCACAAGCTTCCTGAAAAGAGCAAGACATGGGTGTGAAGGCAGAGCGCCCTGCAATTCCTCCATGAAGGAGAGGAATGACTTGAACCTGACAGTGGATCCTGGGAGATTAATCCCTTTAAGTAAATCTCTCCCGGATGCAGCGCCGTTTTTGTTTGCAGCATATATACGCACCAGCTTCCTGGGTGATTGGTGCTGCTGATGACACTGACGAGAGATTCCAGCTGAGAGCCAAACAGCAGTCTTACCTGCAGCCAGACATTTAAGGTTCAGAGGCAGTTCGTCAGAGTGGTCGGGACAGTCTGCGTAACCATCGCACTCCCACTGAGAGCTGAGAAGACAGCGCCCGTCCCCACAGCGAAATTCCTCTGATCCACAGGAACGATAGACTGAAGAAAGAGAAAGACAGCCGCTCTCTTACTGCAGTTGGCAGCGACATTGTTTTAGATTAGGGCACATCTTTAGCTGAATCCAAATCAGTTCTGTCAAATCAAGCTGCAAAAGCGAGATTTCCACGACTATGGTTCATAATGTCATTAGCATGGTGATCTGGAGGCGTAATGGCATTCAGCTGCATTGGCCAACATCTCTACAATAAATGCACACGTTTCATCAGCCGGTAATCATAAACCACGGCTGCCACAGAGAACCCCCCCTCTGCGAGACAAACAGTCAAAGCTGCAGTAAAGCTAATAAACACAGAACGTCGTGCACGTGATCCTTCTGTTTGGAAGCAGGAATGTGGATCTGATTCACAGGCCGACGCTGACTTTCTGCTCACTGCCTTTGGGCACTTTTTTAAACTTCCTGCTACTTTACATCAATAAGACGGTCACTTGCTGAAATACAGTAATGATAAACATTGCAGTGTAGTTACAAGTATCACATCAACATGCAATACCTCTTTACAACTGCTGCATTACAAAAAAATCAATTCAGTTTTATTTATGTAGCACCAAATGACACCAAGTTTCCTGTGAATGGAGCCATAGCTTAAATAGACAACAGTCCTCGATGTAGTTTCTCAATATTTACTTTCAAAAGTCCAAACAGGTCCACAGCAACAGAACTCCAAATTATGCAAACGTATGAAGCTCAATTCAAAATGGATGAAGAGAAATTTCAAGGTCAAAAAACTATGTGGCTCCACTGTCCCCCAACTTCCTGTTTCTGCTGCACTATCAAAATAAAAGCATACATTTCAAATTAAACTGCATGTGGGCTCCTACACCAAGAGTCACCTCAAGCTGCTTCATCCTGGAAAGACCCTGCAGTAATCTTACAGTCTGAGCTGGCCCCGCCCCTCCCTGAGCCTGGTGCTGCCGGAGGTTTCTTCCTGTTAAAAGGGAGTTTTTCCTTCCCACTGTCACCAAAGTGCTTGCTCATAGGGGGTCATATGATTGTTGGGTTTTTCTCTGTGCTGTATAAATAAAACTAAATTAATATTTATTCTTCAACATTATTCATATAACACATTTAATGTATAAAATACTGTTATGGAACTTGCCTGGTGCAGCTTTAAGCACGAGCACATTGATAGTGAATATAAGAAAAATGAAAAACAAGATAAATCTACTTGCCACATTCCACCGACTCATCAGATCCGTCTCCACAGTCGTTATCGTGGTCACAAACGAATCGCTGGGGGATGCACGCTTTGTTGTGGCAGCGAAACGAGCTGTCATCGCATGTGTTGTTGGGTGCTGATGCATTAAAAGAAATTAGTTAAATTGCTAATCTGTGGATAAACACTCTAAAACCAAACATGCAGCACTCTGAGAAGATGACATCACGTCTGGGGCTAACCAAATGTCTGAATGCAGATAAAACAGGCTGAAACTGAACAATCCTAATCTATTAACCACTGCTTCACATGTTTGCTCTGAACATAAATATCACGCAGAGATTAGGACTGGGTGTTTGGTTGGTGGGTTCCTTAATTTGCAACAAAATGACAGCGTGCAAACACGCGTCGACTTGCAGCTTTGTTCTTTGAAATAATTTGTTTTGAAGAACTTACCACAGCCAGCAGCGGAAAGTTCGTCACTCCCATCAGGACAGTCTCTCTCCCCGTCACACAGCCAGCGTTTTGGAACACAGGCATAAGACCCGGGGCAGCTGAACAGCCCCGGAGCACACGTCACCGTGCCTGAGAGCAAAACACAGACGCACTTTCAAAAGAGTGCATCCAATCAGAAGCGGACGTCTTTGGTTTAGTTTGAATGTTACCTTAGAAATGCTTTCAACTGATACTCAGTTTTGACCCCAGTAAACTCGACCCATCGCTGTGCAGAAACAACATTCTGACTGTGCTGTGGTGCATAAATGATGCACGTCAGCAGTGAGGCAAAGGTAAATACAGTCGTTCAATTAGCCATGTACAGCTGAATGCAGATCTTGCTTTGGACAGTAATTGTAAGTGAGGAGCCTGTGGACCGTTTCTTCCTTGACACTCCATTACAACCAAATTATACAACCGGTGCTCACAGCAATTCCTGTCTCTTTATTGCGGTAGTATTCGTTTCATTTTATTGTAAAATTCATTACATACACATCTCATTTGCCCATTGAAATAGTTATGTCTCCGGGGCCTCAGTGATGAAAAATCTATTTGCCTCAGTGCTCACTCGAATTATCAAAAACGCCCGCAGTCTCATTTGTTGCCTCATTAAGATTGTTTCATTTCTCTACATTCATTTCCAGCTCGGCTACAGGAGCACGTGAAGCCACGGCGCTGTAATGCGATATGGCGAATGTGACCTTTTATAGCACAATCAGACTTTGCACGACAGCTGAAAGGGCACTAACCACAGATCTGCACGCTCTCATCCAGGCCGTCCTCACAGTCGTTCTCGCCGTCGCACAGCCACTGCTTGGCAATGCACTTGTTCTTGGAGCAGGCGAACTGGTTCCACAAGCAGGACGAGTCTGCAGAGGGCAGTGGACGAGGAATTTCAGTGCCATAAATCACACAAAGTGAGGAGGAAACCACAACAAATGTGCCATAGCCTACAGAGGGAGCAGAGCATTTTTAATCAAAACTCAGAAAGTGGGCTGACTCCTACTTGCCCCTTGGCTTGCTTGTTTTTCTCTTTAGCTTTTCAGCTCAGCAGCACACAAACGTGCACATAGCTGCCACACCACCCGTTGCAAACAGCACTTTTCCCAAAGGATTGTACTTACAGGGCAATAAAATCGAATCACTTGAACATTGATTCAAATCATTTTTGCTCTTCGTGAAACGATACTGGAGTGGGACCGGAAACCAAGGATGCCTTCTGCTGATTACCGTGTGCAGTTATTGTGCAGAAGGAAGAATTTGTGTCACTGAGCCACCTCGTTTCCCCGGCGAGATCTGTGGTCTCATTCTCTCTGATGTCAGGCCCAGCAAAGTCTGCCAGAGCTTTGATAAGATACTGGGAGGAGGATACGGGATGCGCGCACCAGGTCAGACCGCAGCACGAGCAAATATGGATACAACTGAGGGTGGGGGGTGTCTCACGCTGGGCTGCTTTCCTTTCTGTCAGACTTTGCACTAACTTTATGTGTTCTGATACTACGATGGAAGATAAGGACAAGATAAACATTAAACAGCTAAATCTGGAAACCTTGATTATCCAGACTTTCCATGCGCGATACCAAATTTGCACTTCAAATGCAAACAGCTGCTTCCTGTGTATGACAAAATAGCAGGTCTACAGCACGATAAACCTATCAAAGAAAGTCTTTCATGTCTCATTCTCAATAGTGTTTTGCACAGTGGAAAAGTGCACTGTGAATCGTGAAGAGACAAACGAGTGTTTGGTCTAATCAGCCGTGGAATTTCACATTTCTGAAATGTAATAACGTTTCCCTCAAAGCACATTCCCGATGCAGTTAGATTATCAGTGGATTGGGCTTTTTATATGATAATTAACTCAGAGGGATGGGAATATTGTCTATTTGTCCGGGAAAAGCTATTCAGAACTTCTCAAAGAATTATGGCGTAATTCATATCAGCTCTGACAGAAGCACATTCGAAGCACGGGGACGTTATCGTTTCACACAAAACCACATTTCCAGTTAAAGGAATGGAAATGGTGTTGGTGTGTTATGCATCTGCTACAACGTTCGCAGGCAATTTACAAAATAAATCTGATAACTCGGAAATGCATTAAATTTGAAAATTGCACTGAACTCCCTCTTCTATTGTTTGTAGCTGAGGTCCTCGGTAATTACACAGGAAGAAAGGCCACATTTGTGTTATCGCAGAGAAATGCTTTCAAAGGCATGCACTTAAGTCTTTTGCTCGCATTTTATTTGTGTTTGTCTTAATTATGTAAGCTGCTGCCGAGCTGCTCGTTTAAAAATAAATCGTTGAGGCTGTACTCTGAATGACACGTGGATGCTAAATGCTAACTGTGTAGCTACTTTCGGCATCATGATCTCAGTTTAGCATGTCAGCATGAAGCTGTTTGGTTCTGCAAAGGTCATGTGTCACAGAAGGTAGAGTGATTACAAAGATCAAGGAATCATAGAAGTCACAGGATGCCTTTCATCAGTCGCAGAAACAGCTGAATTAGATGCTAATGTTCAACGATGTGATGCTGATGCTCTGATGTGCAGAGCTGGACTAACTGCAAAGGATGCAGCTGATCAGCTGCTGAAGCTAGGACAGGAAGAGAGGTGAGGATGAGAAGAGGTGGCTTCATGCTGAGAAAGAGCTCCTCAGATGTGAGGTTTGATTTGAGAGTGCTGATGGAGACGTTTAGAGGAGGTCAGAGTGTCACTCTGTCTCTCAGAGAAAGCAGATGATTGGCTGAGGTGTGCAGTAGGAGCAGAGGTGGGGAGTAATGAAGTACAAATACTTAAGTAGAATTTTCTGTACTGTATTTTTAAACACTAGTATCTGTACTTCAGACAGGCTGTACTTTTGCCACCTTTGAGTAGGCGTGACAGGTGGGTACAAGGTGGGGGTGGGATTACAGGATGACTGCCTTCTTGTTTGCAGTGATGATGGAGAGGCGGAGTCTCTCGTGTTTACAGGTGACATTGTGATTTTTAGAGCAGGTGGAGGAGAGCCTGGAGAGGTGGAGGTATCCCCTGCAGAGGGTAGCAATGAAAGAAACAAGACAGAGTACTCGTGTGGACGAGAGGGAGACGGGAGGAGAACATGTAAGGAGCCTGGAGGTGGGCGTCACAACTGGAGGGGATCAGGCACGACACGAGCAGAGATGAAAAAGAGAGGATGAAGATGGAGCTGCCAAGCAAGAGGAAACGAGGAGGTTTGTGGAGATG